GCAGGAGAGGGGCCAGAGCTCAGCATTGGCGGAGACCAGAGCCACCGCTGAAAGGCTTCGATTTAACGTGATTTACTCTGACACGGCACCGCGTATCAGACCGTGACGTGCACGGCTCATACCAACTGGCAATAGGTTCCATATGTTTGCAGGCATGCCAATACATTGTTGCGAGAAAACTGGTCATATTAGTTCTGTTCTGGAGAATATAAATCAGATGAGCGAATTCACACGACTTGTCAATAATCTGGCGTAAGGCGAATATCTGGTCAGAAGTACTTCTGCCAGACTTGAAGCTACACTACTCTTTTTGTATTTTGGAGTCATTTATTGCGTAGTACTTCTTTTCTAGCACCTTTGTATGGATTTTACTCAGGAAGCTCAATGGAACATCGCCCTGATAATTTTAACATACCTTATGGTTTTCTTTCTTAAACAGGTCTACTACAGTTCTTGTTCTCCGGTCTTCTTCCTATACCTTGCAGTTTGACAGAGTCTTGTAAGCCAACACATCCTTGTTCGCCTAATGCTTTAAACATTGCATGGCGAATTTGATCGATTCCATCAGCCTTTTTACTTTCGAAACTTTTCACTACTTGTGTGATTTCACCTACAGAAAGACTAATATCTGTTCCCTGTTGCTCTTCACGCCGGTCTTCCTGCGGCTGGTCTGGGTTAAAGGTTCCTAAGAGTGAGCTTTCTATAGCCTCTGTAAGAGGGTGTCCGGACCTGTCGTTCAAGACTCTTAGACTGCCTTTCTTTTCACCTCTGAGCCGACGGATGGTCTACTAGAATACCTTATTTGCCGTCTGGAAATTCGACTCCAGCACCTCACTAAACTTCTCTCAGGAATTCGCTTTCGTTTTCGCCAATGCTTTCACTGACGCCTTGCGCGCTTCAACATATCGCACGCGAGTATTAGGCTCTTTGCTTCCAAGCCATCTTCAATGCAATTTTCTTTGCGATAGCCAGTTATGGTTCTTGTTTCTAGCAGAAAATTCGTTTTTGACCTGCAGGCACCAGGCCAACCCTTAATCTAAAGCATTCGACCTCAGCCCGAAGTAAGCCGTTCGTAAAGACGTCGATTTCCACATTAGCGGTCATCACTGGGATCTGTTCAAACCAACGTGCAATGCTGTTAGCAAATTTCGCTCTAGTATTCGCCGAACGTGGTGTTTTTCATTTGATTCTCTGGTTGTTCCAGCTACCAGATGGTCGCATGGTACTCACAGCGTAGGATGCCAGCAGCAGTGTGATGATCAGTTTATGGTCTTGTGCCTCTCTTAACACTATCGTACATTGCAGGACGTCGTAAGTCAGACGATACGATTATCAAATCGATCGTCGATTTCTGTGCATTAGCTTTCCTATGTCAGATGTACTTACCGAGGCTTCGATGCTCGAAAAAGGTGTTCATAATAGACAGTCCATTGTTTGCACAAAACCGCAGCAACTTAACTCTGATACCCCAGACGAAGGTGACAACAGTAACATTTTTGAGGTCACTAGGGTCGTTCTTTCCAGCTACGCCTTTCCAGTTTGCAAAGTCTGCTCCGTCATACGCGTTGAAGCCACCCAAGAGAATGGAGGACTCCATAGTCGGCACCGGATAGAGCACACATTACTATTCCTCAATGAAGGGCTCATATTCTCCCTCCTAATTTGTCTCATAGATTTGTAAGAAGGTCAGTGCTTTAATCTCTTGTAGCTTCAGTCTGATGATTGTCTCTCTTCCATTGATATGTCAGCCAGGCTGAGTTATACGTGAACACCAACACCGGCCTGAGCGCGATTTCTAATGTCGACGGCTGAGTAGAAAAGATTTCACCCGCAGAGGTTCAGAATTGCAGAGAATTGGAGCTTCGTTGATCAGCTGTCGGGTTGGTACCTTACTGCCTCATCAAATAGCTCCAATGCTTTCCCTGTGAGCGAATATATGTTTGAAAATCTGATTGTTAGCTCCTATTGTCGCTATGGTTTCCGTGGACTCCCCCCCTCTCCGTGCCCGATAAGTCTTATCTGACATGCTATGATGGCCTCGCGCTGTAGGTCTCCTTTTTTCAGAGTGGGTAGAGGATCCAATGGTGACTGGTGTGTTCATCGTCGTTTTGTCAATCTTTGGCTGCCGTTGTTGTACTGCTGGAAGGCTGGATGCAAGTTTTAATCGTTGACTTTTCGCAGCCTGCATTTGTCCGTCAACAGCCTGTGGGGCTCCTAGTAATCCGGCGACGATCGAGCTGGTCTAATGTTTGGTGATGGTAACGCCATGAAGGGAACTGGTAGCTATGTTTCACGGGGACTTTGGCGACGGTCCCTAACCCTCCTTTTTTCTCATCCGGCCTCGCACCTCCAGCGGCGAAGTTAACCATGTTGAATTTGTTGCCCCGTAGCAGCTCGCTGCATGGTGCAGCTCGGTGAGGGTCCATTCTTACAGCGACCCAAACGTTGATGATCAAATGGAGACGGCAACGTACCTGTTCATAGTTGCTTCATTTATGAATATCACTTCCGTATTTCTAACACAGTCTCCACATTTAATCGGCTATTAATACGCACCCTCTAGACGTTGTTCCTGGTTTGACCAGATGTCCACTGAATCCGCTGACTCATCATAATTTCCATAATTCTGTGTTATTCCAGAAATTCGCTTTTCTCTCACTTTTATCGCTTTTACCGTGAACCGTTTCGACTAATGAGCATAGCACCAACAGCTGTTGATCAGAAAGTTAATATAGTAGGGCGCTTCTAACATGATCCAATAGATACTTCGAGACATTATTTTAATTGTTTTCAACAGATGCTTTGCTTATTATATCATCTAATTTACATTCGTTTAATGCCTGTAAGAAGGTCTGCAAATAATGTCTTCTGCAGTCCATTTCTAACTATACAGTTATATGTTGAACAGTATGATGTATGCGAATAAATTAGAAAAAAAGTTAGACAGGTTTACTCTGGTCTAAGCTTTCTGAAACTGCCTTGAGGTGAATGAAAGGTAAAGGAAATGACATTAAGCTGATTTTAACGCCGGCAGCCGCTGAATTAGATCACGGTTCTTGTGAATGAAGGTTT